TAAGAACATATGGGTCTGGGCATGGTGGCACACGCCTTTAATCCCAGCACTCGGGAGGCACAGGCAGGTAGATCTCTGTGAATTCAAGGCCAGCCTGGTCTATAGAGCGAGTTCCAGGACAGCTAGGATTACACAAAGAAACCCTGTCTTGAAAAAAACAAAACAAAACAAACAAACAAACAAAAGAACATATGGGTATATAATGTTATGGTAAAAAGTGATATATCAGACAAACTATAACTGATTCTAGTGAATGACAGCAACCAAGTGATGTGAAAGGGAAATAGTAGCCATTAAACTTAGTTTGGAACTAGAGTTACAGCTTACATGTAGTACACTTGCCTAGATTCAAAACATAAATGTACATACACATGTCAGTGTTTATCTTGGTGAATGCTAAAGCCCAGAGAAAAAGCCACTGAGCTTGTATCCTGCACACCTTGATGCTACAAAACCTGACTGAGGTGGTGAGGTCAGTGAAAGGACAGATACACAGACATGTGTACAGAAAAGTTGAGATTAGGTGGGCCATGCTCACTTTGATGGAGGTCACCAAATGTAGCAGCAACCCAAACTTAAGTGTTTATTTTGTACATCTGAATGGAGGAGACACATCTTTTGTATACAGTTGAACAAGGAGGCAGGTTTAGCTAATCTTGGTGGGAGGTTTCTGCAGGGGAGCAGTTTCAGGCTGTAATTATCCAGAAGGAGGAAGCTGTGGTGTTTGATAATTTCTCTATATACTGATCAGTTCATATACTCATACAGACTGGAGGAAGTCTTTGTCGTCTCCACGGGTCTGAGGCTTCAGGAATCCTTGACATGGCTGTGCCTTGTCAACAGCATACCTTCACTCAGGACTTCATCTGCTCCTTGCACATTCAGGGCTTCCTCAGCTCCCCACACCACTGGGTCAGGAGAAGGGGACTTCCAGGATTTTCCATGTCCAAGATCTACATTTCCCTACTAATAAGTACATGGTTTATGCTCTTCACGTATTAGTAATCACAGAGGTTCTGCTAAAATTGCAGACTCTGAGTTCTGTCCTGGTCTCGCTGAATCAATATTTGGGAGAAAGGGTCTAGGTCCCCACAGTTGTCTTTCAGGTGAATTGCACATAAAAAGTTTAAAAACTAATTCTAAATAAAGATGACAGTAGCTACCTCTTACTGAATGAACGCTTTCATCATTTGCCAGATACCATACTTGATTCTGTGTATTAGCCTTCATGTAAATGAATATATTTGCATATGTAGGAGGAGAAATAATGGACAGTTAATAAGGAATAAAACATGTATTTTATATGCATAAATGGGAGGTGCTCAAGTGAGTGAATCTCTTAGAGGTGGCTTTGGATTCTATCCTGCACACCATAACGAAGAACAGTATACTCTTGGAGCAGGCATAAGATGGCGGGGAAGGACTCTGACTCTAGAAGATAAGTAGCTAGAACTAGTGCTGGCCCCTGGCCCAGAAGAGTCGAAAACTGTGCTCAGTGGTTAACCTTCCATCTGCCTGGTGGATGGGGAGGGATGTACATGGTGGGCAGACAACTTTCCTGCATCTGCTTCTCAGCTGCCTTCAGTAGTCCTTACACCAAAAACACATATTCTCAAGCCACATATCCTGGTCATATATATATATATATACACATATATATATGTATATATATATGTATATATATATGTATATATATGTATATGTGTGTGTGTTATTTATATATATATTATATATAATATATAATATATATTAATCTTTATAGCCTCGGGGGATTCTGATGAGGAAGTGGTTTTTTTGTTTGTTTTTGTTTTTTTGAGACAGGGTTTCTCTGTGTAGCTTTGTGCCTTTCCTGGAAATCGCTTTGTAGATCAGGCTGGCCTCGAACTCAGAGATCACCTGCCTCTGCCTCCCGAGTGCTGGGATTAAAGGTGTGCGCCACCACCGCCCGGCCTGATGAGGAAGTTACAGAAAAATTAGCAATGGCAAAGGGTCTTCAAGCCTGTATTCTAAGCTAGACTACTGCTGCCTCCTTCACCACTCTGGTCTTGTCCTCACTACAAGACTCCACTCATAAACTGGCTTTTTATGTGCTCTCTGTGTGACAGATGTGTCCCACGTAGAGGATGTAGGAATAGTTTCTGTTGTAAATAATTTGTGTCTGATTATACAGTTCCCTTTTTTAAAGTTATTATGATCAGTCCCAAAGAATACTTAGGACTTGGGACTTATATAAATTATAAACTGTCTTATAAAATATCTATATTATATACTCATTTATTTTGAGTGTGTGTGTGCACATGCATGTGCACGCTCGAGCATGCGTACACGCACACACATTGCCACCCCTGTCACATATATTCCTTTGGCCCTAAGCCCTTTACCCAGTCGAGTGTTCCTAAGAAATTAAACATTCCTGTGGATGACAGGAAACCACTGTGTCATTGCTAGCTGGGGCAGAACCAAGAGCTTTCTACCTCGAGTCTGTAAAGGCTTCCTGTCAGAAGCTGAGTGGCTGTTTTCCAAGGGACCAAGAGAAGCTTGTGGAGGTGTAGGCAGTGAAGAATGAATGGGCCATCATAGATACCATGCTTCATGCTAACTTTGCTCATTTAACCATGTCAGTTCTAGCAGTTACTAACACCTATAACCCCTTACCACTTCCGAACCCCAGAAGTTCTACTGAGGTCTTATCCCTTAGGTTTACAGCAATTTATTTGCTAGCAAATCTTGAACTGATCTGAGGTTGTTTGTAATCTTTATACTTTTTGATGTGGAAGTATCAATGCTTCATTACAGAGTCCTGCCCAGACCTCACAGGAGTGTTATAAAGCATAAGTTATAAATACTATGGTTTGTTTGGGAATGGTGATGGTGGTGTTAATTCGAAGAATTTTTCAGAACACTTTTGGCCCCCAAGAGATTGCTATGAGAAAGTTGAAGTTAAAGAGGGGTTTTGTTCTGTGTATACATTATGTAAGCACCTGAAAAGGGATCATATCCTATCACCAAATATCACTGAGCTCTGTTTTTTTTGAAAGAAGCCTCTTGAAAGCCAGCCGTAGTGGTGCACACCTGTAATCCCAGCACTCGGAGACAAGTCAGGAGGGCCAGAGATCAGAGCCAACCTGGCTGGAGACTCATAACAGACTTGGTCTCAAAAAGCAAAGGTTGCCCAGCAGTGGTGTTGTGGCAGCACACAGTTTTAATTCCAGTACTTGGGAGGCTGAGGCAGGAGGATCTCTGAGTTCCAGGACAGTCAGGGCTACACTGAGAAACCCTGTCTGGAAAAGCAAAACAAAAAAGCAAAGGTTGCCGGGCGGTGGTGGCGCACGCCTTTAATCCCAGCACTCGGGAGGCAGAGGCAGGTGGATCTCTGTGAGTTCGAGGCCAGCCTGGACTACCAAGTGAGTTCCAGGAAAGGCGCAAAGCTACACAGAGAAACCCTGTCTCAAAAAACCAAAAAAAAAAAAAAAAAGCAAAGGTCACTTGGCCCTGATGGTACTTGAAGAGATCTGTAAAATACCTCAAGAAGTGTCTTTAAAGTCAAGTCTGCTTCCGTATGATTACACTTACAACCTCTTTTTTTTCCTCTTTTGGTTGTCTCTAGAGGACTAAGAGCAGGAATGTTCTGTTTGGAATATATGCTCCACTTTAATGTGGTGGGCGGAACCGGGGAAGGAGGGACTCCAGGTGACCTAACTGGCATTAAGATTGTGCTTATTCATAACCCTTATCCTTGGTCTTCAGAAAGAAGTCTTAGCGGGACTAAAATAAATAACCTGATAAGGATCTTGTGAATAAGGATGGTGGAGATGGCATTCTTGTAGAATAGAAATAATGAGGTTTTGATAGCTATTAAAGTATCTGGTAAAATTAATGTATTTTTTCACTAGTTTTTGTCTGAAATGCCTCACTCAGGAAAACAAAGATTGATTTCTTTTTTCAAGTGAAAACTGTAAAAAATTTTCTTCCATGTTAAGCTTTTCTTTTTCTTTTGGCTAAACATTTTTTTAAGCCTTTTCTGTTTTTTGTTTGTTTGTTTGGTTGGTTGGTTGGTTGGTTTTTCCAGACAGGGTTTCTCTGTATAGCGTTGGCGCCTTTCCTGGAACTCTCTCTGTAGACCAGGCTGGCCTTGAACTCACAGAGATCCGCCTGCCTCTGCCTCATGTGTGCTGGGATTAAAGGTGTGCACCACCACCGCCTTTTCTATTTTTTAAAGATATTGTTTGTATATATATGAATCTTACACCTGAATATGTGTATATGCACTGTGTGTATGCCTGATTCCTGCAGAAATCAGAAGGACCAGGTCCCCTAGGTGGTGTTAAGCTGCTGAGTGGGTGCTGGGAACCGAACCCATGTCCTCTGCAAAGAACAGTTCTCTTAACTGCTGAGCCATCTCCCCAGCCCTTATTAAACATATTTTGTTTAAACTTTCATCGTGTTTCCCAAGCTTTTCTTCTTGTGGGATTATCATATTTCACTTTGGGTTTTCTTTTTGAATATTAAGCATATATTTTGTAACAATTGACTAACGTCATGAATATAGGAGTATTGGAAAGCATTAATGGAGCTAAACACATCAAGGACATCTGATGTCTGTTTCTTATTCAAACGGGTAGTTTTTATTGGGATTTAACATTCTTTTCCCATTAAATAAACCAATGACACTGTGGTATAATATAAAGTTCACATTGGGTCTTTGTCCCTCATTCCTGGTGTAAAACTCCAAAACCCCCTATTGTCCTGAGTAATAGGATGAGAAATGACCACATTATTAAAGGGTTGCAGTGGCTAGCCAGGAGAGGGCAGGCAGACTGTCAGGGCTCTGGGAGCTTCAGGGCTGGCAAGCACATCACCATGCCAGGAGGGTGCTGAGCCCACAGGTGGAAGCCCTAAGTCCTCACGTGGCATGAGTTGGTATTGGAGAGCCAGAGAATCAGTGTTGAAGCATGCAGGCTGTCTTCTCCGGGTTGCCTGATATCACTCTTGTTTTACAGTATCTGACCAAGCAGGTGGAGCTTCTGCGGCAAATGAATGAGCAGCATGCCAAAGTTTATGAGCAATTAGATGTCACAGCCAGAGAACTGGAAGAAACCAACCAGAAGCTAGTTGCTGAGAGCAAAGCCTCGCAACAAAAAATCCTGAGGTAAAATTTCTGTCACTGAGGGCAATCTACAAAGGAGGTATTTAGTATAATTTGAAGTAGAATGTGCCTGTAGGGGGTTGGGCAATAAAGGATAAGGGTTCATTCTTTTAGAAGAATGAGGATTAACTGTAAGTCCTTTCCAATTAAGAAAGCCAAGTTTGAGTGACTCACACCTAATCCCCCTTCACTAGTTTTGATCTTAATTTAATGTGACGAGCAGCAACCAGCTTATGTCTTCTTCACAGCCTCACAGAAACAATTGAATGCCTGCAAACCAACATTGATCACCTCCAGAGCCAAGTGGAGGAGCTGAAATCTTCCAGCCAAGGAAGAGGGGGGCAGAAGACATGTGACCAGGAGAAACCGGCACCCAGCTTCTCCTGTCTGAAAGAGCTGTATGACCTCCGCCAGTAAGAGCCTGCCTTTCTGTGGATTTGCAAGCTAGAAACATCCCGTGTTGTTGACACATTCTGGATTACAGTAGATGAAAAGCTCCATTTCAAGAAGTGCCCTGTGGGGTGTTTACCCACCAACCCCACAGCTCCCCAGAGTTTTCTTGAGTGTGAGCAGCAAGAAATATTAGATAGAAGGATTTATATTGTGGAGATAAACAGATAAAAAATAAAGGATAGCCTCGAGAGGGCCTGGAACCTATTCCAATGAGCCCTGTCTCTGCCCCAGGGTATTTATAGAGACACCAAGGGGTGGAGCAAAAGACCTCTTCCCCCCAGCACAGCCAAATGCAGACCATCTCAGACACCTGCACTCAGGCCCATGGTCCTAATCATCCTCTCTATGTGGACCTGCTGGGTAAAGCCACGAGGAACCTGAAAACGGGCTCCCACAGTGCCCCTTGCCTGTTAAACCACCAGTAGTTTGAACAAAGCCACTGAACTTCAAAAAGTATTTTCACCTAAAAAAATGCCTTTATAATTTATAGTTATGAGTTTGAGTCTTTAATAAATACTTACTAAACACCTGTTCCACTACAGTTGATGTGCCAGACATCAGGAATGATGGCCAAAATAGACATGACGTGTCTTCATGACCTTTCCTGAAGTCAGATGCTCCATAACCAAGAAATAAATACACACAAGCTGCCTAAGATTGAATAGGAGAGGCCAATTAATGTTTCTCACCCTTTACTTTATGTCACATTACCTAGAGAGATTTGGGGATTTTGAAATAAGATCTCATATAGCCCAGCTGGCCTCAAACTCCTGATCCCCCTGCCTCCACCTCCCAAGTGCTGAGATCACATGTGTGCACCTGGCATTGTGGATGTTTTCCAAGAGCAGATACTCTCTCTCAGGTCAGACTTTCTAGGTGTGATCCTAAAGCTGTCCCAGTGGTTCTGATGTGTAACCCAAGTTAAAAGTCCAAACATCATGTTCTTTAACCTTGGTCACATATTATGGACAACATTTAAAACCCTATAGGTCCAGGTAGCAGACCAATTAGGTCAGAATCAATGGTGTGAGCTCCAGGTTTTTAAGACCACCCAGCTGATTGTGATCTGCAACTAGAGCTGAGACACTCTGGTCCATTATATTTCCTAGTAAACAGTTGTCATTCTCCTGGTCTGCGAGTGAGTTTTCTATGCTACTTTTACTATTGGGAAACAAATCAGTCACAAAAAATGTATTCGCTTTCAAGAATTTTCCAGTCTCATAGAGTTTCGTTTTAGCCACTGCTTATAGCACTGAATGGGCTAAAAACTGGTGTCACAGCTCCTTTCAAAGATTTAGTTGAAAAGCCCTAGCAACCTCCTTTGCGCCATCAGTTGACCTTTAAATATTTCCATGTTTCCTCGTAGACACTTTGTTTATGACCACGTGTTCGCTGAGAAGATCACTTCCTTGCAAAACCAGCAGAGCCCTGATGAAGAAGAAAATGAGCATCTGAAAAAGACAGTGACGATGCTGCAGGCTCAGCTGAGCCTGGAGAGGAAGAAGCGAGTGAGTGTGGAGGCGGAGTATCAGGTAGTGCTGAAGGAGAACAGTGAACTGGAGCAGCAGCTGGGTGCCACAGATGCCTACCGAGCCCGAGCACTGGAGTTGGAGGCCGAGGTGGCTGAAATGCGGCAGATCCTGCAGGCAGAGCATCCTTTTGTGAATGGTGTTGAGAAGCTGGTTCCCGACTCTCTGTTTGTGCCCTTCAAGGAGCCCAGCCAGAGCCTGCTGGAGGAGATGTTCCTAGCTGCTCCAGAAGCACAGAGAAAACCACTCAAGCGCAGCAGCAGTGAAACGGTGCTCAGCAGTATGGCAGGGGGGGACATTGTGAAGGGCCACGAGGAGACTTGCATCAGGAGAGCTAAGGCTGTGAAGCAGAGGGGCATCTCCCTTCTGCATGAAGTGGACACTCAGTACAGTGCCCTGAAAGTCAAGTATGAAGAGCTACTGAAGAAGTGCCAGCAGGAGCAGGACTCACTGTCACACAAGGCTGTGCAGACATCTAGGCTGCTGGCCAGGGACCTGACAGGACTGGTAACCCAGTCTGAGGCTGGAGCCAGTGGCTGGGAACCCACCCCTGTCAGCCCAGAGCCCACCACTTCCCCCACCACTACACCTCCAGAGTACAAAGCACTGTTTAAGGAGATATTTAGTTGTATCAACAAAACAAAGCAGGAAATAGATGAACAGAGAACAAAATACCCATCTCTCTCCTCTTACTCTTAATGAGACCTCCAGTTCTAATCTGCCTGTTTGCTCTCACCCCCTTCCGTTCAGACACAGCGCAGTCTCCAAAGCTTGATGTTGCTAAAGATATTTGCCTCATTGCTTTGTTACTTGGCAAAAGCAGCAGGAGAGGTGGCTGACAGTGTTGACTCCAGGGTCCCTAGGAAATCTCACGGTAGACTGGCCACTGGTTGGTGCATTGATGAGGCTCATTTCCAGGGAAAGCCCTAGAACCGGTGAAGGGGGATCCATGTACTTGGAGTAGGCTAAAGGACCTACAGTGTGAGGCAAAGGACAGAATTGGAACAAAACTAAGGCTGTTCCTGTTGCTTCCAAACTTGGCTTCTCAAACTACTGGAACTCCAAGGTCTGCTTAACTAAAATACTTTTCACACTCATTCCAAAGAATGTTGAGAAAGCAGGAATCTTTTCAGATGACACTAACCAGCTCCTTAAGTTTGTTGCATCTGCTACCAGTTGAATGATGACTGACAGGCAGTCCTGTTTCCAAATTCAGTGACTACCAATTGAAATGGCAAGTTTTGGTTTGATCAATCCTGCTGGTATATGCCAGCATTCAGCTGTTTTACTCACAGCTAGGCATGTAGTATTAATTCTGTTTTCAAATAGAAACTAAAGGAGAAAGGAGAAAGCTCTTAGTGTTTCTGTGCTGACCACTTGGCAACCACAAGCTGCTCCTGCTCAGTTCTTCCCATTCCTAGACTTGCAGACGTCCCTGTTTACTTCCTTACACAGTATTGATGTTCTCACTGTGGAAAGAATCTTCCTCTCACTTGCATACTTTAATTTAAAAATATTTAAGAGAACCATGGTTCTGATTGTTGTATATATTTTTCTAAACGCCGAATAAAGCTATCTATGAATGTGAACAAATAGATCTACTGCCTATTGTTTTAAGCTTAATGCCATTTTACAGTTGAAACCAGCTGGCTTTTCCCCAATAGACAGCTCTGGGGAATTTGAAAGTGATTTCCCCTCATTTTCTTTTAAGCAAGAAATCCTTGGAATTGTATGACTTAACAAAAAATTCTGTCCATGTTGCTAAATATTATGATTGAAAACATTTTTCTATTATTTCAGAAGCATCTGGCTTAGTTCTGAATTCATAGCACTTAACTAGTTGGTTGTTAAAGCTTCCGATCAGTTAATCATGGTTAAAAACTTTTCAGTTCTTGACTACTGGGGCTAGGGCAAAGGCTCAGCTGAGTAAAGCGCTTGTGCAAGCACTGAGACTTGAGTTCATGCCACAGCACCCATGTAAAGATGGGAGCGTGACAGCATGCACATGTAGTACTTGAGTTCATGCCACCGCACCCATGTAAAGATTGAAGCATGACAGTATGCACATGTAGTACCACCACTGTGGAGGCAGACACCAGCTGACCCCAAGGACTCACTGGCCCTAGCCAATCAGCTCCAAGTTCAGTGAGAAACCCAAAAGATGAGAGCAAGGGCTAAGAGCAGTGTCTCGGTTCATTGCTGAAGAGTACATTGCTCCTGCAGAGGACCTGAGTTAGTTCCCAGCACCCACTTCAGGCAGCTCACCACTGTCTGAAACTCCAGCTCCAGGTGATTGTGATGTTTCTGACCTTGAGCAGCTGCACACACATGCACATACCTGCATACGAGTGCTTGCATATGCAAATGCACACGATATTTTTCATTTTTTTTTTAATTTATTATGTGCATTGGTATTTTGCCTGCATGTACGTCTGTGTAAGGGGGTGTCAGATTTTGGAGTTATAGACAGTTGTTAGCTGCCATGTGGGTGCTGGGAATTGAACCCGAGTCCTCTGGAAGAGCAGTCAGTGCTTTTAACCACTGAGCCATCTCTCCAGCCCCTACAATTTTTTTCTTAAAAGAGTGATGATATCAGAAGACAACCTCTGGCCCACAAATAAATCAACACATACACACAATAGCATTAGTCAAATATGATGAGTATTGATTCCAAATTAGATGTGCTTTTGAATTAATTCTCAAAGTTTTGTACCAGTGGCATGGATAAAGGACCTGAGCTCAATCCCCAGAATCCACATGGTGGAAGAGAACCAAGTGCCATAAGTTGCCCTCTGACCTCCACACTGGTGCACTCACATGCCCCTACATATACACTCACAAAATGTAAACATTTCAGTTTTCGTTTTGGTTTGAGATGGGATTTTACTGTCTAGCTATGGCTAACCTAAAACTCACTGTCGACCAGACTGGCCTTGAGCTTGCAGCACTTCTGCCTGTGGAGTGCTAGCATCTGAGTACCCACACCCAGCTTCCAGGTTCGTCTTTGAGATGGTGGTCTCATGTACCTGATGATGACGCTGAACTTCCCATTTCATTTCCCAAGTTGTCACTGGTGTTATCATGACTGGTCTAAGCAGTATTGGGGATCGAACCCTGGGCTCATGTGTGCTAGGCTAGTACTCTGCCAACTAACCTACATCCCAAGTCTTTTGAGACAAAGTCTTGCCATGTAGTCCAGACTGACCTCAAACTGGTAATCTAACTCCTTTAGCCTTTCAAGTACTGCGATTACAGGTATGTACTGCTACTTCTGGCGCTCTTTCCTGCCTACCAACCTACCTCTTCCCCCAAATCAGCCAACCAGTTTCCTATATATTCTTCCCAGATAGGCATACATTAGCACAGAAATAGTTGCCACCTCACATTTAAAAACAATACTGTATCGTAAATACTATATCTTAATGATAGCTATACAGTGTCACAGCCTCCATGAGGAGATGTAATGAATATATACATATATATGTGCATACACTTAAACATGACTTAGAAGTAAAGGCAAAAAGATGTGAGCATTTTGGCATCACTGAACCGTCATACTTCGAGTAACTCCACATAAGGATGCCTGGTTTCTCACACCCATGCCAATGAGCTTTTACTTTTCTGAGAAAGGGTCTCATGATGTTGCTGAGGCTGTCCAATAAACTTTACTATTAAATAGCAGGCAAATGGTGTTTTCCTAATAGCTTATATTTTCATTTATATTATGAATGAAGTTGTATATTCTTTGGTTTTGCTTTTTGCTTTTATTTGTGCTTTTTTGTTGTCTTGTTTGCTTTTGAGACAAGGCCTCTTCATGTACCCTGGCTGGCCTGGAACTTGCTGTGTAGACTGGGCTGACCTCTCTCTGCTGGCCGCTGCCTCCTAAGGTATGTGCTAGAAGAGTTGACTATTCCTACCTACTGTTAGCCATTTGTACTCTCCTTTTGCCTGTCTGTTAAAGGGCATTAGTACTAGGAAGTATACTTTTGCAGTTGGATATTGCAAGTATTTTCCTTGAATATCTTATTTTACTTTTAATGGCAGTTTGCCAAACAAATTTATAACCATGTTTCTTGATCAGTTTCTTGAATGATTTGCTCCTTTGTTTGATCGGTCTATCCATCTGAACTATTCCCCACCAACCAAAATGCTCCTCATGAATTTGAACCAATTTATATCCTAGGCTCTGATTTCCATGTACAATAGGTCAATTTTAGTGGCTGTATTTGGATATTTATATTTTTATAACTGAAGGGGAAAATGGAATTTCTTTCATAGAATTTTCCCAAATTTGGTGTGTGTGTGTGTGTGTGTGTGTGTGTGTGTGTGTGTGTGTGTGTGTGTGTGTGTGTGTGTAGCTGGAGTTTTCCTGCCTGGCCCACAGTCAGGACAAATCTCTCTCACCTGCCAGTCCCATAGCCACTCAGACCCAACCAAGTAAACACAGAGACTTATATTGGTTACAAACTGTATGGCCGTGGCAGGCTTCTTGCTAACTTCTTACAGCTTAAATTAATCCATTTCCATTAATCTATACCTTGCCACATGGCTCGTGGCTTACCAGCATCTTCACATGCTGTTTGTCATCATGGCGGCTGGCAGTGTCTCTCTCACTCAGCCTTCCACTTCCCAGCTTTATTCTCCTCCTTGTCCCACCTATACTTCCTACCTAGCCAATGGCCAATCAGTGTTTTATTTATTGACCAATCAGCAACACATTTGCCATACAGACCATAAAGGTTTGTTTCTGCTTTTCTCTAAAAATTTAACACTATTGGTCTTCTAATAGTCCCAGTTCAATTAAAATTTAAAGCTGACTTTGGAGTTGGAGAATGGCTCTCTCCTTCTTTAAACTCAAGCATGTTGTTAAAAGGAAAATGCAAACTCCCTGTATCATGCCAGAATAAAAAAGCCATCTTCTGCTATGGGACAGGAGAAAAGCCAAATTAATTAAGGGACTATTCTATTACTAATCTCAACTCTTTGATTCTATTCTGATTCTTTAAAACTTTTCTTAAAGTATAAATTTTATATCAAAGTTACAAGATTAATATATATAGATATATAGATATATATACATTTTAAACTTTGTTAAGATATGAATGGTCATATAGAGTACTAATTAATTCTAGAAAAAAGGCTTCAATTAGCTGCATATATATGTCTTTGTGTTCGAGTCTCTTATCAGTTTTCTGCAGGAAATCACGGCCAGGCCTAACATCAACTGAAGTCTCCAGGAAGAAGTTGGGGCCCCACAACAACAATTCCACGTGGACAATAATAACATCACTAAGCTGACAAACATCATCTACAGATCAGCTTTGAACTACAAGGTGCTCAGAGCAATTTTGAGATGACTAGCTGAGATGATCCAGTCTCAAAGACTACTTGAATAAGGACTTGAGATAAACCCTGAACTTAGGCATTATACACAGACTGAATAATGAAGGACATAGTTACCTTTCCTAGAATTTGACAATTAACCTAAAATTTTTCTTTCAGGATAAAGATAACTTCGCCCATACCCAGCAGGAAGCAATTTTAAGAATACGACGCCCACATTCCCAGAGAGGTGGTGTGGGGTGGGTGGTTTTTTGGTCTTTTTAATGGGTTTTGGGTCTGGGATAATTTTCATTGTTTAGGGGGGTTGGTTACAAGTTGTTGTCAAGGGTTAGGGAAAAGGCTAAGCAAAGGAGATTAGATTTAAGGTTCTTGTTTAAAAAAAAGAGAGAGAAAGAAAGAAAGAAGAAGAAAAAGACAATTACTAGTTTTAAATACTTTACATTGGATTGGATTGTTTTATATTGTATACAAATTATATATATTGGAATTGATATTGTTAGAAAATGCTATATGTATATTTCTAATTGAACTTATACCGTTCATTTAACAATGCAATTTTCTGATCCTTGAATGCTATTATTACCAACTATTAGGATATAAAGAAATGAAAGTTAGTAGTTAGACATTACAATAGAACTTGTAGTCATATTAGATATGTTTTAAAAATTGAGCAGATATATTTTAGACAGGTCATCTTCAAACCCTTCAGAGATCTACAGAATATGGCATTTAAAATGTTTTAATAACTAAGAAAATTTTTCTTTTTTGTTATGATTATGAGACATGTCGGCTCCTGGCAGTACCAATCTACTTCAGAGAAAATATGGGCATTGAAGAAACTGCATATGGAGTTAACTTTCATTGTGGCAAAAGTTAGCCACTGGACAACAAAGTGTCCTCGAATCAACTGCTGACAAAATGGACAGACAGGACATGAAACAAAGGACTACTGATTCTTGCCAAAACAAGTGTGGTTATGGCTTTATCAAAAGGCATCTTCTGAGGCCAGGACAATATGGCACCATCCCTGAAGTGGCCTTCGCAATTTGGAAAAGGTACAGTGCCCTTTTCTTCGAAGGCAGCTGAATAGGCAGTGGGCCGATGGCTTCTGATGTGCAATGGAACAGCAGCTGAAACAGTTATTCTTGAAGAGTAACTAAGCTCACGCCTCTCAATAGTAGACTGGCATTTGATAGAGGGATGTGGAGAAGAACGGGATGCTGAGATGAAGCAATATATACACAGCCAAGAAGAATGGACAGCTGAATTAAAAAAACATCAACAATTTCCAGAATTTAAAATCCTGAATCATGACATGACACTAGTGGAATTCAGGTGTTTCTGGTACATGGACTGCTCTCACCCAATGTGAGGTTGAACTGTTGACCTTGTGTACATCCTACTTCACAAATGAGTCTGTCAGATACGCTAAACCTATAGGCTGAAGATGATGCCCCAGCATTGCGGAGAAACCTCAGGTGACTGTCCAGGCAGCTGGCTGTTTCTGTCAACTCACAAATTTTTTGGAAGTTGCTTGCATGCACTTTCTGTTTTTATTTTTGTTAGCTAATATTATTTCCTTCTTGGGTCTCTGAGGGAGTTGAAGATTAGTTAGTTATAGTTGAAGGTTAGTTAGTTATAGTTGAAGATTAATTAGGATAGAAAGTGAATTAGACACATTTTGGACTTAACAAAATAGGATAGATAATGAAATTATTTTCTCTGAATTTGTCAAATACAAATGGACTAGACATTGTTTAGACATTTATTACTTGTATATATTGTATATAGTCATTGTACTTTTGTATATAGTTTTTCTTTTGTTAGTTATAACCTTTTTCTTTTTTTTCCTTTTTATTAAAATAGAAAAGGGGAAATGTGGTGGTATTTTACTTGTACTGAAATGTCATTTTAATTGTATGTTAATAAATAAAGTTGCCTGGGGGTCAGAGCTATTAGAGCTATAGCAAGTGCGTGGCGGTGGTGGTGCACGCCTTTAAGGACCTGGAGGGCGGTACATACAGGCAGTGATGAGGCAGTCACATGTTTGAATTTACAACCAATGAGAAGGCAGAACAGCTAGACTATATAAAGACATACACACAGGAAGTAGGTCCCTTTCGGAGAGCTCTCTTGACTGAAGAGGATCGCTGAAGCAGGAAGGGTGAGGCTCTTAGCTCTGACCTCTTGGCTTTCTTCTCTGAATTGGCTCTGTGTTTCTTATTTAATAAGACGGTTGGTTACATCTACATGTGTGTGTGTGTGTGGTGGTGGTGGGGTAGTGACATGTTTCTCTCTAAATGTCTAGTTCTTGGATTGAAGTATTTATTAAGGTCAGGTATTTTTGTTTTGTTTTAAAGATTTGGGGTTTTTTTTGTTGTTGTTGTTTGTAGCTCTGACTGTTCTGGAACTCCATATGTAGACCAGGCTGGTCTCATACTCAGAGATCCACCTGTCTCTGTCTCCTGAGTGCTAGGATTAAAGATATGTGTGCCACCATGCCCAATTAAAGATTTATTTTATGTGTCTGGGTGTTCCATCTGCAACATGCACAGTGTCCGCAGAGGCCAAAAGAGGGAGCTGGATATCCTGGAACTTGTTACCCATTGTTGTGAGTCGTCATGTGGGTGCTGGGGACAGAACCTGGGTACTCTGCAAGAGCAGCAAGTGCTCTGAGCCATCTCTCCAGACCCTTGAAGTCAGTTGTTTTGTTTTGTACCCCACTCCCACCCCCACCCCTGAGTCTGGGTTTCTGTGTAACAGCTCTGGCTGTCCTGGAACTTGCTTTGTAGACCAGGCTGGCCTCAAACTCACAGAGATCTACCTGCCTCTGCCTCCTGAGTGCTGGGATTACAGACATGCACCAACACCACCACCCAATTTGAAGTCAGTTTTTAAAATGATTTTGTGTGTGTTTGCCTGCATATATGTGTACCACATGTGCCCAAGGAGACCACAAGATGGTGTCATCCCTCAGAGCTGGAGTAACAGATGGTTGTGAGCCACCATGTGGGTGCTGGGAATTGAACACCAGTTCTCTGAAGAGCTGCTGGTGCTTGTAACTGCTGAGCCATCTCTTCAGCCTGAGGTCAGTTTTGTTTTGTTTTTATTTTTTGGTTTTTTGAGACAAGGCTTCTGTGTAGCCCTGGCTGTCCTGAAACTAACTCAGTAGACCAGGCTGGCCTCAAACTCAGAGATCCACCCAATACAGGGGCACCTGTCTCAGAGATTTTGCACATTTTGAAAGATTTCTCTGTTGGGCTTTGTAGCTGCTGCATATGGAGAAGCTAATGATTCTGGCTGTGTTGTGGAACAATTAGAGTAGCTTTTACATGGTAGTTCTAAAAAATAATTTTAACTTAACTGATTTTGTTTTTTGTTTTGTTTTGGTTTGGTTTGGTTTTTGGCTTTTTTTTTTTTTTTTTTTTTTTTTTTTTTTTTTTTTTTTTGAGACAGGGTTTCTCTGTGTAGCTCTGTGCCTTTCCTGGAACTCACTCTGTAGCCCAGGCAGGACTCGAACTCACAGAGATCCGCCTGCCTCTGCCTCCCGTGTGCTGAGTGGGATTAAAGGCATGCGCCACCACCGCCCAGCCTTAACTGATTTTTTTAACCCTTCTCTAATCCTTGTCTCACTAACTGGTTGATCTAGAATACCATAATTATGATGAGAGTAAACATACTTCTCAGTCTCAACTAAAGGATATGTATACTGTTCCATTAGTTGTGATACTGGGCTTCTATTCAGTCAGGAATTTAGGAAATTATATTTTAATATATATCAAGTAAATTTGTATCCAATTAGACAAAATCTATTTCCACTTCTCCCCTTTATTGTGTACATGTGTATATCCTTTCCTCCTTTTAGTCATACAAAGGAACATTTTCACATCATATACTTTGGATGTGATATACTAAGATGTCTCTTGCCAAATTCTCAGCAGTCCTGAGGTGAAGTCACCTCCCCCTACATAACTGCAGTTTTGTACTCTGATCTGCATTTACGTATTCCCCTCACCACCACCACCACCACCACCACCCCCCCCTGTAACCACCATTATTTCTATGCACTTTATTTTGTTATTGCACCTTTTTTTCTATGCTAAATAATATTCCCATGTTGTGGGGCGTTTACCCAACCACCCCCACAGTTCCCCAGAGTTTTCTTGAGTGCGAGCAGCAGGAAATATTAGATAGAAGGATTTATTGCGGAGAATATCACGGAGATAAACAGATAGAAAATAAAGGATAGCCTCGAGAGGGCCTGGAACCTATTCCAACGGGCCCGACTGTCTCTGCCCCAGGGTTTTTATAGAGACGCCAAGGGGTGGAGCAAAAGACCTCCTCTCCCAGCACAGCCAAGTGCAGACCATCCCCGACACCTGCACTCAGGCCCGTGGTCCTAATCATCCTCTATGCGGACCTGCTGGGTAAAGCCACGAGGAACCCAAGAACGGGCTCCCACACCATGTGAATGTGTTTATATGCTACAATTTATCCATGTTGATGAATGTTTTGACTGTTTCCATATCTTGGATATTATGAATAGTGCCTTAATGGGTAAAGAAGTGCAAGTATCTTTCACAGCTGGTTTTGTTTCTTTGGTATATGCCCAGAAGACTACTGGATCCTACAGTAAGT